GGGGAGAAGTTGAGGGGCTCCGAGGTCCCCATGGCCTGCGGGGGACAGAGGGACATGGTTGATATGGGGACACGGCTGATCTTGAGGGGTTCTGATGTCCCCATGGCCTGTGCGGGACAGAGGGACATGGTTGATATGGGGACACGGCTGATCTTGAGGGGTTCTTATGTCCCCATGGCCTGTGGGGACAGGTGACATTGCCAGGGATGGACACTGTGAGGATGGACACCATCCATGAGAAGTTGAGGGGCTCCGACGTCCCCATGGCCTGTGGGGACAAGGGACACAAAGGATCTTGGGACACTGCAAGGATGGACGCCATCCATGAGAAGCTGAGGAGTTCTGATGTCCCCATGGCCTGCGGGGAGAAGTTGAGGGGCTCCGACGTCCCCATGGCCTGTGGGGGACAGAGGGACATGGTTGATATGGGGACACGGCTGATCTTGAGGTGTTCTGATGTCCCCATGGCCTGTGGGGGACAGAGGGACACGGTTGATATGGGGACATGGCTGATCTTGAGGTGTTCCAATGTCCCCATGGCCTGTGGGGACAGGGGACATTGCCAGGGATGGACACACGAAACACCAGGTTGACCCTATGAGAAGTTGAGGGGCTCAGATGTCCCCATGGCCTGTGGGGGACAGAGGGACATGGTTGATATGGGGACATTGGTGATGTGGGGACACTGCAATGATGGATGCCATCCATGAGAAATTAAGGAGTTCTGATGTCCCCATGATCTGTGGGGACAGGTGACATTGCCAGGGATGGACACTGTGAGGATGGACACCATCTATGACAAATTGAGGGGCTCCAATGTCCCCATGGCCTGTGGGGGACAGAGGGACATGGTTGATATGGGGACACGGCTGATCTTGAGGGGTTCCGACATCCCCATGGCCTGTGGGGGACAGAGGACACAAAGGATGTGGGGACACTAACTGGCCCTCGGCCACCCACGAGAAGCTGAAGGGCTCCAATGTCCCCATGGCCTGTAGGGGACAGGGGACATTGTCAGGGATTGACACTGCAAGGATGGACACCATTGATGAGAAGCTGAGGGGTTTCGATGTCCCCATGGCCTGTGGGGACACGGGACACGGCTGATCTTGAGGGGTTCCAATGTCCCCATGGCCTGTGGGGAGAGGGGACACAGAGGATGTGGGGACACTGCCAGGATGGACACCATCCATGAGAAGCTGAGGGGTTTGGACATCTCCATGGCCTGTGGGGACAGGGGACATGGCTGATATGGGGACACGGCTGATCTTGAGGGGTTCTGATGTCCCCAAGGCCTGTGGGGGACAGAGGGACATGGCTGGGTTGATCTGGGGACACTGCTAATCTGGGGACATGAAGGATGTGGGGACACTGCCAGGATGGACACCATCCATGACAAATTGAGGGCTCCAATGTCCCCATGGCCTGTGGGGAGAAGTTGAGGGGCTCCGATGTCCCCATGGCCTGTGGGGGACAGAGGGACATGGGTGATAGGGGGACACGGCTGATCTTGAGGGGTTCTGATGTCCCCATGGCCTGTGGGGACAGGGGACACAAAGGATGTGGGGACACTGCCAGGATGGACACCATCCATGAGAAGTTGAGGGGTTCCGATGTCCCCATGACCTGTAGGGGACAGGTGACATTGCCAGGGATGGACACACGAAACACCAGGTTGACCCTTGGCCACCCACGAGAAGTTGAGGAGCTTGGACGTCCCCATGATCTGTGAGGACAGGGGACATGGCAGATTTGGGGACACTGTCCGGGATGGACACCGCAGGCTGACACTCTGTCACCCATGAGAAATTGAGGGGTTTGGATGTTCCCATGGCCTGTAGGGGACGGGTGACATTGCTGATGTGGGGACACAGCTGATTTGGGGACACTGCTGGCATGGACATGTGCGACACCAGGCTGACCCTCCCTGGACCCCCAAATAAAGCCCCCAGACCCAAATTCAGAGCCCCCAATTCAGGACCCCCAGGATGAGACCCCCAGACCCCCAAAATCACACCCTGGAGAACCCCTGAGACCCCCAAATAAATCCCCCAGACCCCAAATTCAGACCCCCCAT